CTAATTTTCATCAGAATCGGCGCGAGCGGCGTCCTCCTCGGCGGCCTTAGCGATCTGGTCGAGGACGAACTGGGGGATCGGGTGGGGGAACTCGGGAGCCACGGGCAGATGGTCGCCCTCGGGCTGGAAGCCGTTGTCGTCAGCAACGAAGCGTAGACGGATTTCAGTGCCGTCAGGAGCGGTGTAGCTGTAACATTACAGTAACGAAATGAAGATATGCCTACAATCGATATTATATACTACAATAAAATCTAGCATATTTTTAAGAACATACGTAAAGTTATTAATACTCACGAGTATTCTCCGGCCTTGATCACAGCGTCCTCATCACCGTCGGGGGATCCAGCCTGGGAGAAGCTGATACCGTTGCCAGTTTCGAAGTCGAAGCTGTATGTTCCGTCGTCCTCTTGGACGCGGTCGTCCTTAAGGATTGGCACAAACTCAACTTCTTCGCTTGAGCTGTACTGGGGGGCGGCGAAGGCCACAGTGGCAACGCAGGCAATGATGATCTGAAAATATATTTTAATTAAAAGTAAAAATTTAAGTTATAAATTATATATATATATATATATATATATATATATATATATATATATATATATATGCATATATGCGTGGTTACATTAACCGTGTGTGTATTTAGATATAGAATGTGTATGTTAGTGTATGCATTTTCCCGTTACAAGTGTAATATGGCAGCAATTTTGCATTAGCTAGGCTAATCAAATCATGGGAAGATTCCAATTACTTGTAGTGACAAATGAAAATACGTTATAATTGATATACGTTTGTTAACAACGAAAAGTGTAGAATTATTCATCTAGAATTTTTCAGTTTCGCTTCAAAACTAAGTTTAGTTATCCTCTGGGACACTCACAAACTTCATGTTGGTCGGATGTAGATCGAACTGATGTAGCGAACCAGTTGACTGGGCTTTATATACGTGCACTAGTTCCCATTTTGACCTTGGCGATACTCCTGTAGGTCCCACCCATATTCTGCAACCTTGACCTTATCGTAGCAAAGGGCTTTTATCTCCCACTCTCATCTTATATTAGGCTCAATGTAGCCTGTGAACTTTGTGGTGAGTACAATTTTCTTTTAGCCATCGAGGTAATAAGGATAACTAATGATGATATATATTATAACAATAATAGGTAAACGTTTTGGAGCAATATCAGTGGAAATTTCAAAAATGATTAAAAAAGATATGAAAAGGTGTATGTTCCGATATATTTACATAGATAGATAGATAGAAGAGAGAGATAGTTTATATATAATACATAATATGAATATATATGCAGACACATATACTTGCATATATACATGTCTGTATACATATAACTATTTACATATATTTACATATGTATATATATATCTATATATATATATGTGTGTATGTATATATATACATGTATGTGGTTATGCATATAAGAAAAATGTGAATATGAGTGTATAAATGTGTATATATATGTGCATATATACATACATATATATACATATATGTATATTACATATATTGTATACATTTATGTATTTGGTGTTTTTATATGCGTACTTATGTATATTTGTGTGTGCTTATAAATACGCACATACTCATAAACACACACACATACATATACATATGTATGTGTGCATACGGTATACACACACAAACACACACACATATGCATATATATGTATATATATATATATATATATATATATATATATATATATGTGTGTATGTATATATATACATGTATGTGGTTATGCATATAAGAAAAATGTGAATATGAGTGTATAAATGTGTATATATATGTATGTGCATATATACATACATATATATACATATATGTATATTACATATATTGTATACATTTATGTATTTGGTGTTTTTATATGCGTACTTATGTATATTTGTGTGTGCTTATAAATACGCACATACTCATAAACACACACACATACATATACATATGTATGTGTGCATACGGTATACACACACAAACACACACACATACATATACATATGTATGTGTGCATACGGTATACACACACAAACACACACACATACATATACATATGTATGTGTGCATACGGTATACACACACAAACACACACACATACATATACATATGTATGTGTGCATACGGTATACACACACAAACACACACACATACATATACATATGTATGTGTGCATACGGTATACACACACAAACACACACACATACATATACATATGTATGTGTGCATACGGTATACACACACAAACACACACACATACATATACATATGTATGTGTGCATACGGTATACACACACAAACACACACACATACATATACATATGTATGTGTGCATACGGTATACACACACAAACACACACACATACATATACATATGTATGTGTGCATACGGTATACACACACAAACACACACACATACATATACATATGTATGTGTGCATACGGTATACACACACAAACACACACACATACATATACATATGTATGTGTGCATACGGTATACACACACAAACACACACACATACATATACATATGTATGTGTGCATACGGTATACACACACAAACACACACACATACATATACATATGTATGTGTGCATACGGTATACACACACAAACACACACACATACATATACATATGTATGTGTGCATACGGTATACACACACAAACACACACACATACATATACATATGTATGTGTGCATACGGTATACACACACAAACACACACACATACATATACATATGTATGTGTGCATACGGTATACACACACAAACACACACACATACATATACATATGTATGTGTGCATACGGTATACACACACAAACACACACACATACATATACATATGTATGTGTGCATACGGTATACACACACAAACACACACACATACATATACATATGTATGTGTGCATACGGTATACACACACAAACACA